GCTGGACCCTGATCATCTGCAGGAGCTGGTCAGCCTCACAATCTGGCAGCTCTCCCTTCACAACAAATATAGAATAACCTGGGGGGAAAGTCAAACGACAAACTGAAACAGCCGGGAAGAGATTCCAAATGGGTCTCACAGCGAACGCAGACAGAGGCACAGCAAGTACAGTGTGGCGGAAAGAGCAGGAGGAAGAATCAGGAAAACCTGGGCTGACAGAGTAAATCTACATTGCTTGGGAGGGGAGGGGGAGTGGGGGACGGGAAACAAACTGGGGCACATTCCTCAAAGCTCCGAGTCTCACTTCCTTCATTTGTAAAATGGGACTAACTGTCTGAGTGGCTGAGAAGTAAATGAAAATGAGGCCATGCTTACAGAGCGAGCCCTCCTAAGACAGCGACAGGGACGGAAGGACAGAATGTGAATCCCACAGTCTTGGGTTGACATTCTCATCCCCCACCTCCTAGCCGTGTGACCCTGTCAAATCACTTTCCGGACCCATGTCTTGCTTTCTGTACCTGTTAGATGATACTAGTTACCTTCCTCCAAGAGGCAGACTCAGATAGTATATGTAATAGCAGAATATTACTATATAATCAAATAATAAGCCATCTTGTGGAAATAAGTGCCTCACCCCCACCCCCACCCCAAACAAGCACACACACACAATCTTTTAACTGGAAACAGGTGCTGGGAAGGCAGTACTCACAATCTAGTCAAGGTGTCCAAAGTGTGGTTCAGGTTTTGAAGGAACCCCAATGGCCTGGTACAACGTTTTACTAACAGGACCTGGGAGGGTGGGGCTTTCACAGCTGGACGTGCCTCGGACAACTGAGAGAGGGTGGCCTGGACCTCTTCAATTTACAGTGCCCACCACTGCATTGGTGCAAAGCTCTGGCACTTGTGACCTGACACCCTTTGTGTACATTCAGAGAACGAAAAAAGTGCACACAAGGTTAACACCCCAATCAATAAATCATGCTCAGGTTTCCCACAAGGACGGATGTATGTGCTCCGAATTTAGTTGGGTCAACATATTTTCCTGGTAAAACTGTTCCTAGGCCCCAGAACAGATCATTGTCCATGGTGCTCCATGGGGCACACATACTCTACGACTTAAACAAGGCTGAGACTCAGGTGTTCACTGAACCAGAAGTGTTGGCACCAACCGACTGAGGATGACAGGTACACAACGGGTCTGGCTGATTCAGAAGGCAGAACAGGGGTCACGATTACTCATATTACTCCTAGTGTTTTCAGTTTCACCCAGGGCAGCATGGCTCAAGAGTTCCATTCATCTAGCAAATCCCTACACAAGACTGGAATGCATTAGGCTATCCCTGAGGTAGTCATTTGGGTATACTACCTTTCTTGGAACTGATTTGACACTCAATAAGGAAGCCTGGCTTTCTACCGAATTTCCCACTAGGAACAGAAGATGCCAGCTAGCTAAGGGAATTAATAAATTGTGAAATAACAAACTGGCTCTTGGTGCTAGTTACCATTGTTAGCTCTGAACTCGGCAACTCTATTTATGTACAATGAGTCCTACGTCATCCTTCTGCTCTTGGGAGTGCTTGAGTCAATTGCCACAGCTACTTTGCCAAACCACCTCATTGAGGGCTTCTTGCACGTGCCTTAGCATTCCTACTTCACCAAAGGTACAAAATTGGTTGTCTGGTTTAGACACTGGCTTCCACTTTCAAAACAGCAACCTGAGGGTCCCCCTCCCCCTGCCCTTTCATATCTTGACTAGATTTGAGGTGCTGGCTTCCTAGGCTTTGTTTACAGTTGCCAGAAGTAATAGTCGGCCCCATGTTGGAAGCCACGCCCAGAGTCCTGGCATGTACACAATGGGATACCACCACGCCCATGAGTTGGATGGGCATAGCACGCAGATGGCTAATAACAACCACTCATTCACTCAACAGTTATTTACTACACACTAACTAACTCTGCTCTAGGTGCCTGAGATGGTTCCCGCCCTCGTAGGAACTCAGACAAACAAATAAGCAAAGAGATTTTAATATGAAGGGCCAAGTAGAGAAGGGAAAAGTAAGATGCGAAGAGTAGGGAGATCGTCAGGAAGGGCTTCTCAAGACGATGAGACACCTGAACAAAGCTACTCAAGTCAATTCCTAGCTCTGAAAATATGTCTCAGAAAGAGGACAAGCCCAAAGGCCTTTGGGTAGGAAAAGTCCTGAACAGCTTGGAAAACAGTGGCCGTGAAAAGTCAGAAGAATGGGGCAGACAAGAAAGCTCAGGAGCTAGGTGGACTAAATTTATGAGACACCGTCTCAAAAATGCACTGCCACCCAGTAACAGTAAGCACACTAGTGTAATTAGACTGTAATTTCTAAATACCATCACTATAAGGAATCAGAGAAACAGCAGATTCCAGATCCACAGCAGGAAATATATATGGTAAACCTGAAACATCTTGTTAAACAAAAAGAAAGTCTTCAAAATATTACAGAGGTTTGGGATTAAGCTTCAAAGGACTTCCACTGGTCAAAGATAGAATAGTTTGAGCATCGATATTATAACTCTAATGGACTGAAGCCCCAAATCTATTTTACTTTACTAATTAGTGGCATTAAAATGAACTGGTTGCTCTGAAGAATACTACTAGTGAACTGACACATCGTTTCAAACCATACTTCAGGAGAGGTTCACTCATACAGAGGTGTTCGAGTTAATAAACAACGGCATGACTGGAAGCTAGTAGGGCTATTTTACACTATTTTGAGAGAACCGATCTAGATATTAATCATCAGTTACTACTCCAATTGCCATCAAGTCAACTCGAGTCACAGAAATCCGTTGGAGATCACAAACTGAGAGAAGACAACCAGACTTCAAGTGCCCCCGCAGACATCCCCCAATCAACCCACATCTGATTAAGCCTCTAGGTCTCCATACCAGTCAGTCTACTGGGCGAGTACTCAAAGGTGAGAGGAAAACGGATGCAATAAAGCAAAATCCAGAATGTGCATTACAAATGTCTCAAGCTGTTGAGTAAAGGATCTGGAAGGATTTTAAGGCTGTGACCCTTTAAGCTCTCTTTTTATTTACACACACACACACACACACACACACACACACACACACACAGTTTGTGGAATATAGCACACACAGAGAAAAACCATATTCTCATCCAATCTGATCAGAACAGTATTCCATGAAGAACTCCTCTCCCATAGGTAGTCCTTTCTTGTTTCCTTGCTTTTCCCACTTTCCCTCCAGTTTTCTGTCCCTTCTCTCTCCAACTCCTCCCCGGCCCTTGCTGTAGTCTTTAAGCCTGCTTCTTTGGTGTGAAAACCATTTTAAAAATTTTCCTTTATAACACTGGGCCTCCACTCAAGTACTCCCTCAATGCAAGAATATTTTCTTCTATTAAATTGGCATTCTATGATGCTCACCTTCTCGACACAAC